GAGAACAAACTAAGCAGAGATACATATATATTACAGAGAAATTATCTGTGTAAGTGATAAAGTATCTCAAACAATGTATATTTATGTCTAGACAACAAATATTTATATAAATTATTTCTAGTAGATTTGAACTCTTTACACTTTTTTTTGGACTTGTTAGTTTTCTTACCTTAATGTAATATACATAGTCTCCAAATCATAAAAATCCATTATACTAAGTAGGCTATCATTTACTGATTATATAATTTTCAATTGAGATATCCAATCAATCACGATGCTACAGCATAGATGAAACTTTATTCTATAAATATGCATATAATTTAAAGTAGAATTGTTCTATAAATTAGTGGAGGTAAAGACCATCTCATTATTCACTAAAACCAATAACTTGAATTTTATTTAAAAAAATGTAAACTTAAAAGAAAAACAAAAAGTACAAGACTCGAAAAAGAAATCAAGTCCTTGTTAAAACTATGAAAGACTTCTTTTAACATGAAATAAAATCATCAACTCAGTTGCACTTTCCAACAGCTTCTAGATATAAATCATGTATGTTTTGCATATGTGTTATAATCAATTTTAACCATATTGCATTCATACAAAACAAGCAAATTATTACTTTTCTTCTCTATTAAATTCACCAAGCTTTAGAAATTCTTCTCTGTATCCCTTCTTTTTACAAAAGAAAATTTTAATTCGTTCTTTACATTTAGCCATTGAGTTAAGTATGTTTATATTCCTTAAATTTGGATATTAAATTGAAGTTGGTTATAGTTTCAAACTTTGATATATTTTAACTATTAAACTTTAAAAGTAAATCAATATAATCTTCTTAATATAGTAGTATTAATTTTTTTTACGTGTTAAATAACATTTTAATTTAAGCTAAAACATGTCAAAAAAAATATAAATATTTCAAACGTCAATCTAAATGACGATGTATCAAATAGTTTTAACATAATTAAATTAAAAGAATTATATATATTTATTTTTAAAATTTAAAACTGTATTCTATCGAAATTTGGAACAAAAACGAATTTTATTTCACGTCAAAATTTAAAACTAAAAATCTATTTAACTATTGATTATGCAATAATTTGATTATGACTAACTTCTTTTTCTTATTATTTTTATAAATAGTTAAGTTCATCTTTTTTTTTTCCGCTAGTAACATATCTTTCTCTTTAGCACATATATATAATCAATAATTCATTTAAATGTCATCTATAAATATAAGAGATTTCGAAAGAAGCATTATTAATGTCAATAGAAATACTATAGTATATAAAGAAAAAATCAAACATAATAATCTTCAAAAGTTTCAATTGAGTAACAATTTTTCTTATGCAATTAATATGATCATACATCATTTAATCTTTGATAAATTTCAAGAATGAAAACTATATTATAAGAGTGTTGACAAAAATTTTATCATGTGATAAATTTTCATCAATAACCTCTAATAAATTTGTAACATTTTCATATTTTTATATAAAATCTCATTATTTATAAGCATTATGAGGGGTGTTTAGATATTTATTCTTTTTCATAAAGATCAATTACATCTATAATGTTGCTATAATGTTTGTTGGTAATAATTGGAGATTCTTTCTTCCTTATAACATAATAATATTCAAATATTTTAATTATTTTCTACTGCCAAACTTTATAATTGTTATCCTGCAATTTAAAAGTATCATTCTCAATATAAAATATTAGAAACTACATCAATAATATATGGTTGGGCTCAAATGTCATTTGTGTTTGTATCTCTCTGGTGAGCCTCCTCCTTGATAGATCCAACAGTGGTATTAGAGCTTATAGTTTGTCTTGGTGACCGGCTCAGACAAGTATAATGGTTCCTATGTCAAAAGTCTTCCTGACGAAGGGTTCAAGGTAAGTGAGTCCCGTTAAGATGAACGACAATACGAAGGCTACTCGTGGTTGTGGTTGGGAATGCTTAGTACCAATGTGGAAGGGACTCATCCTTGAGGGAGAGATTTGTTGGGATTCAAGTATGAGTGCAAGTCACACTTTGGATAAAAATAAGAAAGTAGAACACTATATAAATGTGAAAGATCCATTAACTCATTATTTTAATATTTTTGGTAGAGAGTGATGTCAATTCCTTGTATAGTTGGACTCAAATATCATTGGTGTTTGTATCTCCCATTGAATCATACATGACTATTTTCTTTATTAAGATTTTTAATATTATCAGTGGAGTTTTAATAATTTAAACTTTTAAGAATATACTATTTTTACTTATTTATATTTTTAATTTGATTACATTCAAATAAAAGTTAGAATACACTATTTGAAATATTATTCAACTTTTAGTACGTGACCTAAAATTAACAAGTCATTCTCAATTCATTTTTAAATTATTTACTTATACCATCTTAATTTTTCTTGTACTTTAATATACATTCGAAAAAAGATCACATGATTTAATTATGTGCATTTTTATATATGAAAACTTTTCTCATATTCTTTTATCTTTAGTTTATATTTCAATTTAAAAAATACCCCAGAATAGTTGTCCCTAATAACTATTTCGATATTGTTTCATTTGAGTGCTTTCTTTAGCTTTTCAACAAGCACAACTAAAATGATATTTAGAGTCAAGTTTTTTGTGATAAAGCAACATATCATATTAATAACGTGCAATAGTTTCATGGCCTTATGAAACCATTTATTAGTTTAAATTTTTTTGTAGGGATAGTACAATATTTTATACAGAAACAACTAAAAAATATAATAAATGTTTCGGTAGATATTTTTGGGACCGAGAGACTAACCTGCTGACGTGTCTGGGCCGCTCGCTCGCTTCCAAACTCCTGCTATTGGTCTATCGTTGTTTGCACAAACCGATCGTTCTTCTTCTTGACGAGGGAGGATGTACCTGCAAAAGGTACTCCTACGCCCAAGTTAGGCGTGTGATTTGAAGAGCCTCAGCTCTTGGTTGAATATTTAGTGAATGATTATCACTATTGAGTATTTGAGAGTAACGTAGAGTAAATCATGCCTAAGTGGAACGTACCTGGCTTTCGGTCCTGGTTTTGTATTTATAATTTACCTCATGGATCCTAAGCTGATATAAGCCCAATAAAATATAAACAGAATAAGATATAAACAGATTACCTGAATATCCAATTGGTTGTTTGTAACCACTCGGTTAATATTTTATACTGTACACTATGCCCCCCAAGTCCGAGTTAAGCGTTTGGCTTTAGCCGTGGTTAACTATAGGACTGACGAGTTTGAGGGAGGCTGCGTTTGCGGAACTGAAAGCGTTTTACCGCTCGACCTTCAACATTAACCCAGCGGGATTTTACCGCTCGTCCTTCAACAGGAACCGAGAGGAATTTACCTCTCGGCCTTCGACATTAACCGAGCGGAATTTACCGCTCGTCCTTCAACATGAACCGAGAGGGATTTACCTCTCGGTCTTTGACCTAGGAGTGCTTCCTAGGGAACGGGCTTTACCGTTCGTTCTTTGAGAGGGCTTTACCTCTGCTTTGACCTAGGAGTGCTTCCTAGGGAACGGGCTTTACCGTTCGGCTTTGAGAGGGTTTTACCTCTACTTTGAGCTAGGAGTGTTTCCTAGTGAACGGGATTTACCGTTCGTCATTGAGAGGGCTTTACCTCTCTCCCGAGAGGGATTTACCGCTCGGTCTTGGACTTGATCGTTAATTATGAACTTTGCTGACGAAATTGGTAATTAGTGTTTGCAATAGGAGACTTCCCTTCGTTTATTGAATTCCATGATACTTTAAGCATGAAGTTCGTTTATGACTACATCTTAGTCTGCACTTGCCTAGTTGATGGCGTGGATTTTGATATATATTTCTTCAAGATGTTCATTGCTGAAATTCTCATGATGATATATATTATGGTATATAACCGTATAATAAATGATTCGGTTACCAGATATTATGAATTGCACCGAATAAATCACATAGATAATAAACAAGGTATCAAAACCGTCTTGAGATTTTATAATATTACTGTTGATAGTTATCTCTCACACAACTTCTTTGACTATTTTAAACATGCCAGAAAATGTTTCGGTTATAATAATTAGATAATTATATTTATAGTTATATACTATATTATATATAATATATCATATATCATATAATATATTATGGATTATACTATATATATTTAAAATATCTATAAAATAGTTGTTATAATATCTATTAGCAATTAGATATTTTATGAAATATTCATATTTCAAAAAATACTTATCTTGTTGATGACATCTCACGTAAAATAGTTTTCACTTTGTCAAAAGTTTCTGGTGTTGATCTGAAATAGTGATGTCGAGACCGAACGCTCGTCTTGGTTTCTTGTGGTTTCTAATCATCTTTCTGGTGCTCTGTTCTTCCTCCATGCTCCTCGTGGTCACCATTGGGTTTGACGCTCGGCCCCACGGTGGGCGCCAAAATGTTTCGGTAGATATTTTTGGGACCGAGAGACTAACCTGCTGACGTGTCTGGGCCGCTCGCTCGCTTCCAAACTCCTGCTATTGGCCGATCGGTGTTTGCACAAACCGATCGTTCTTCTTCTTGACGAGGGAGGATGTACCTGCAAAATGTACTCCGACGCCCAAGTTAGGCGTGTGATTTGAAGAGCCTCGGCTCTTGGTTGAATATTTAGTGAATGATTATGCCTAAGTGGAACGTACCTGGCTTTCGGTCCTGGTTTTGTATTTATAATTTACCTCATGGATCCTAAGCTAATATAATAAACATTTTCTAAAAGAATTGTTATAATTAACAGTTTTAATACATAATTATGTAACATATTCAAAAGATATTTTGTATCATTTACAATAATCTAAACTGAAATTCTTATTTGCGTAGTTATAGTTATTGTTGCTGATCATACTATTTTTTCAAACAACCAAAATGAAACAAAAGGTTCTCTATCAAATTGATAAAACCATAATTTATGAGTATATGGTGTCTAATTATTATACTATATAATTGAAAACATAGTATTGTTGTGGTGGAAGAGAGTAGATATTTGGAGCAGAGTGTGGTGGGTGAGTAGCGTTTTTTGTTTGGAAGGAGAAGCAAACATGTCTTACTGTGCTAAGCCTTTGACCTTGCAACTGCAGTTGCACTCAAGAACATCATCGTCATCGTTCCAATCCCATGTTGGAGGAGTAACAGTAACAACCTCAACACTGTCTCTTCGGCCCTCTCCTTCTCTTGTTTTCACCCACAACCTCCATTTCCAACCCAAAATCAAACGCGCTTCCACAACCATTCGATGCGCCTCTGGTACTGCTACTTTTCTTCCCTTTCATGAGTTTTCGTTTAAACGCGCTAAAGTTTCCATCTTTAATGTTCCCATATGAATTGCTAGCTTCAACTTTTCACAATTCACTGTAATCCCCCTTTGGGAGTAGCTCCAATTCAATGAGTCAGGGATAGTAAGGATGATGAAATATGTACCCTATATCAATTCTTTTGGAGATGTGCAGTTACTTCACCATTTTTTTAATATTTTTTTCCTATCAGAATTGGGGTTTTATCTCATTAATTTGTTTACTAAAAGTTTGGACCGTATGCGTACTAAATGTGGAGATGCTCCAATTCTGATTGGAGAACATGGAAACATTTAGATTTCTTTGATATCTATTTTTAGAAACTACTTTTAGTTTTCAAAATGCAACTAGGTTGTATAGACAGCTGGTGCTGGGCGGTACAAGAGACATATATGAGTGTGGAATTGAGGGAGAGGTTGGACAAGATGAAAACAGAAGAAGAAAAATGAGAAAACAACTTACAATTGCTTTCTTATGTTTTCTTTTTTTGGTTTTGAAACGCTTGTTCTGGAAACTATTTTCGAAAAACGTAATCAATTATGGATCAGAAATTGATTGTTAGATAAGTGAATAGTGTTAAAACAATTTTAGGACCAAAAAGTGAAAAAGGAATGGAACTGACTCTTTAGAACTGTGTTTAGCTTTTGTATAACTTTTTTAACGATTTCAGACGCTTGAATTATATAATAAGTTTTAACTTTGGGTTTTGGTTTGTTTTAGCGTTGACTCCTCAATTGAAGTCTACCTTGGATACAGTTATTGCTTCAAATAAAATAGTTCTGTTTATGAAGGGAACTAAGGACTTTCCACAGTGTGGGTTCTCAAACACAGTGGTGCAAATATTGAAGTCTCTAAATGTGCCTTTTGAAACCTTAAACGTGCTTGAAAATGACATGTTACGCCAAGGACTGAAGGAGTACTCCAGTTGGCCTACCTTTCCTCAACTCTACATAGATGGAGAGTTTTTTGGTGGCTGTGATATAACTGTTGGTATGTCATATGTGACTTAAGTTTTCAGTTTAACAGTTAATTGTCCTCATCGTTGTCTGCAACTATAATGGCCTCATCATTACCTTGTTTTTCTGATGCTTATAAATTGATATTGCCTCACTAGTAGAATGATTTAAACATGATTGGGACTAACCGGCTGTTGCAAAAGCTAATAAAGTTTTAGATGAAGACATGCCAATAGTTTATATCATATCTCTAATAGTGATGCAAAGGATATTAATTTAGTAATTTTAAATGAGAGAGCCAAAATAGACATATTAAAGGGTACAGCTATATAATAAATTTCACATTTTACATTTGACCGAGGAAACATGCAGACCAATTGCTTCTAGTAATTGGCATCTTAAAGTTGTTGGAGCTATTGTTGCTTACAACTTAGAGGCAGTACCTTAGATGTTTTTGGTGTTGTTCTCCAATCAAAATTGAAGTTTCACTTCTTATATAATAAAGGTTTACCAAAGATAAAACTCCCATTCTAATGGAAGAACAATGCCCAAAGCACATGGGAAATTGCATGTTAGCTTTTTCCAATATTATTCAAGTATCAGCCTACACTACAACTTTGGAGATTGAAAACTCACTTGCTTGAACTGGAAAGGAAAACAAATCATATTAAGTGACTGGTTTAAGTGAAAAATTACAAAAGCCAAAGCTGAACTGATTGATTTAAATGTGTAACATGATGATAAAAGTTGTATTATACCGTGACAAAGACATTGTTTTATAATCATCTATTGCCAAATTGATGCCTACAAATTGCTGGAGTACACTGCACATTAATCTTTATTTCTTACATGCTTTATTAACCATATACATACATATCTTAGCTCCTTGCAATCGATAATAATATAGTTGAAAGAAACAAAAGTTCTTGCTTTCGAACAGGTCCTCCAGTTCTGATCTATTTATCCTGATTTTATAATTGACTGCTTAAAAATCAGTTTTTAGCTTTATCTTTTCACTCTAGATCAAACCATATTGTTACATCATCGGTAGATTTCTAGGCAATACTTGCCCTCTTCTCACTTTTTCTTGTATGGCTGCAGAGGCATATAAGAACGGGGAATTGCAGGAGTTGTTGGAAAAGGCAATGTTATCCTGAAACCATGGAAGGAATGAGAGGACTTTCCAAGTTTGTAATCTTCCCTAAGTTCTACTGTGGCTCAGTGATAATGGACCAAGTAAATTGTCCAATGTTTTCTCGTGTCCACAAATGCCTATTATGATTACTGCAAAAGAAATCCTGGTATTTGAGTATAAAGCTGATAACTCATTTGATGATATCTCATTAAATAGACTATTTATTGTTTTACTAGTTGCTACTGCAAATCTATTGAATAAACTATTCGAAACTGACATGTTTCTGCTACCTGTCGTATCTTGTAAACATCTTTTTTTTTTTGTTTGAAGAATTAGTTTAATAATGATGGAAGTACCTTGCTCTAGATTGTTCTATTACGTATTCAACATGTAAAATCCAATTAAATATAACTCAACTTTTGAAGCTTAGCCTTGACGTGCCATTGCTCATGAAGGGGCTGGTGGGATATATCTCATACATACATGTCATTAATGGAAAAGAACATACTTTGTAACTATGGCTATTGAGTTAGCACAAGTAATCACAAGAATAGTTTGAAAGGTTATCTATGGGGAAAACATTATGACAATGATGGCCAATTCCATAATACCTATTTAAATAATGGTGTTTAATATCCATGCAGTTGGTTTTGGTGTGTGTACATACAAATGGTTATTTTTCTGATTGGTTTGTGAAATTGGATTACATCCATTCCGTCCACCCAAAGGAAAAGAGAAGTGATAGTTATGCATTTGCTAACACTTTCTTTTCAACATGTTTACTGATTAAAGTTTATATAAGTTTTAATTAATTTAAGAATGAAATCCATATATTTACTTCGTTTAGAAGATGAATTGCACCAAATAGGATAAAGTGTTTTTGCTAACATTTACCATAGAGAATTTGTCTTTCATTTTTTACGTTTTAAATTTTGTTCCTTTACTTCAAATGAGTATATCTATCCTACTTTCAGGTCATGGCCATACTAATTGGTTGACTTACCATTATTTCTGCTTCACATCTTTGCAGCCTAAAGACTGTTATTTTCCAAATGGATCTCCCAACTAGGGGTGTTTATTCAATGTGTTGGAATGAGTTAACCTGTGTTTTTTCACTTGGTTCAAGTTTTGATAAACCAATTTTGCAAATCATAGTATGACATGAAAATATTTGTATTAAATTTGGATAAATTCAACATGTTGATCCAATATTAGTCTTAACATATTTTATCAGGTCTAATTATTTAGATCCAAGTCTGTTTAAATCCCTCAGAACAGGGTTGATGGGGTGGATCATGAACACCATTAAGGAGCTAAAATGATACAAAACACTTACTAATTATAGAAGAATATATTTTATATATTTTCTAATATATATTTTTTAAAATTTCTTAACCTGGTGTCACGCGTTATTATTTGCTTTTCCAAACATGCGAACTGAGGATGCATCGTCACACATGAAAAAGCATCAAGGACTACACAATGAAGACATATTTCTATGCTTTCATAATTTATGTGAAATGATGAAGCTAATGCTGACAACATGGGAATTATCTTGGGTAAACCAAAAGATTAAATAGAATAATGCTTGAAAAAATACACTGTTATTGAAATTAACGTTATCACTCAATGTAATTTTGATTCACTGTTGGCCTACAAACAGCTGTGTCTATCTGTCCCTTCCAATCAATAAATGGAACATTCTTTTTGGATGTCATAGCTTGTTCTATGGATACCAAAACAATAGAATGTCACGAATATGGAAAATAACACTCGTGAGGAACCCTGTGGAACCGTTATCATATTCATTTTCAAATGATTTTCAAAGTGTTTGCCATTAAGTTATTATTTAATTAATAATTTGAATTCAAATTGTTATTTTGAATTAATATAGTTGTAACAATTTCTCTGGTGTAAGTACTTTCATTCAAAACAACTCCTCTTGTGCATTATTTTTTCTATATTATATATACGTTTTTGGGTATCAACGGAATACATTCTAAATCTCACTTTCTATACTTCTTATGGATGAAATCCATTCCAAACTCAAATATTCTCATACAACGACAGAATCTATTACTATTTGTTAAAGTACAACAAATTAAAAAAAGACAAATAAAGCAAAACTAAATAATGATTAGAAAATGGATATTTATGCTAAAAATAAATCCTCCATCTTTAGAACATAAATTTTGGAACATCTTTTAGTTTGTAGAGTAATTTTAAATATAAAAGACTAATTCTTTTGGAAATATAAAGTCATTGAAATGAATTTTGCCTGCAAAAAATTTCTATATACATGACCAGAAATTTAACTAAGAACATATTTAAAAACCTCAGCTATTTATCACTTATATTGGACCTTGTTGGTCGAGGAATTATTATCTCTCTTGAAGTATTCCATCTATCATAACATGAAAAAATGAAATCCGTGAAATAAGCCGAGAATTGCCATGTTCTGAAGGACTCTCACGACAATAATGACCGTAAGAACAAGTTCCATGCTACTCTACTGTGTACAAAACAAATCAATGGCTGTACAAGGTTATGTGAAATGAATATTGGCACGGAAAATAACTTAGCATGAAAGAACAAGAACTCCTTTTCTCACACAAAGGTGGATCACAAGCCATAGTCCACACTTGGCAGCTTTAAACGTAGGAAGGGATATCTGGCCAGGAATTGCAGAGTCCATGCAGCACATCCTTCCATTTGTATTGTGAAAAGATTTCTCAATCTTTACTCCCATTTGGTCAATTTTCAATTAAGAATCAACTTTCATTGTAGAACGTCCATGCTTGTAAAAATCGCGGAACTATCTGACCAACACGCATTGACAAATACTCCTGTTTACAAAGATACTCAAGTTTCCTTTTTATTTACTGAAGTGTGGCTAGATGAGGAAGAATTGAGAAGAGACTGTGTAGCTAATAATTTGTCCCTTAGCATTAGATTATACTCGTACAAATTTTTTAGATTCTTCTGAATATCGGTCAAGTCCATTTGAGAGCCATCCTTAAATTCTGCATTACATTTGCATACAAGTTAATACATGAGAGGTAGTAAAAGCACTAGCAATTTTCAAAACTCAGAAAATGAAGTTGTTCTATTCGATCATTAATAGCTGTTCAAACAGTAGAAACAAGCTTCATAAAATAACAGATGGTAATAGACACTGAAAGGAGGTAGAGCAGCTGAACTATTTGTATATAAAATTGTAACTCATAAATGTTGCATGTATGTTAAGGATTGAAATAGGTCTACACGTAAGTTGTGCATAATATAATAATATAACTATTTTAATCTTATGTGTGCGCCATGTATTGGTATGTTAGAACTGCGGAGACTGTGTCTACACGCTACACATGATCTTATAAGAGTAGCAAAACCAAAGTCATTGGCACTTTAGCAGCAGAAAACCATGGAAGACAGTGATGATGGTGAGAAAGTGTGGAGGTTAGATTAGGTTTCAATGTTTGAAACCTAGTGAAGTAAAAATCAACAAAAATATATCACTGAGTCTTGAGGTTGAGAATTAGTGTTATATCACCAAATAATTAGTAAGCTGTTATGAACTCAAATTAATTTGTACCTAGTGAAGGTGGAGGAGGAATCAAGTTGCCATCAGTAATAGAAGATTCTTGAGGTTGAGATTGTGCGGGATCCTTGCATGGACCAACATTCTGCTGCTTTTCCATATTTTCAGAATGCAGTTTTGAATCGTTTGTGGATCCAAGGGGTTCACATGTCACTGACTGGAATACAAAACATCGAAATATGAAAATTATGAAATGATCAGGTTCAACCACTTTCTTCTTAAGAAAACTAGATAAAAGCCAATCATGTTAACTACATAGCTTTGACTACATATAGCATACATCAATGACATGTGAAATGAGAGGATTCTTTCCATGAGCTGAGATGACAGCAGCAACATATTTTGACAATTGGATACTACCGAAAACAGTTCACATGGACATTTTACAGTTCCTAAACCCTAAACCCTAATTCATGAGACCTTAATAAAAATCTTGATTACTAAACAATGGCAATGGGAAAGATTCACTCCTCTTGTCTCATGGTAACAACTCCTTACACATGATACGTTCCCTCACGTAAATGCCGGCAACATCAATAGTAATGAGCATTCAAAAACCAAAAAAACAAAAAAGAAGATCCAGTTTAGAAATTAAAGTGCAGTGATGTGCAATGTAAAAGCTTTACCTTGTTGGAAGGTAAACTAGGTTTCTTGTACAAACTTATGGAATCTCTTCTGCTTTTCAGCCTTCGTTTATTTGATGAACCACTACCTCGAACTGAATGCAACATACATCCACCACAATCTGTTTCCTTTCCGGTGCTATTATACTTGTCCTCCAGTGCAGTACAGCCAAAGGTGTAGATCACATATTTCCTCAGCTGATTAAAAGAAGAAATATCAGCAATACAACTAAAGAACATGGAAAAAAGCAAAAGGAAATTAATGTTAAATATGCAAGATGTTTGAACAAGTTGAAAAGAAATTACTTTGTCCCAATGCTCTTGAGCCTTACGCCGATTTCTGACTCTCCTCAAAATGCTATCTTCATTTCTGAGCTTCTTTATCCTATACTCACACTAATTCAATAGAAGGTTAGAAAATATGGAATGTAAGTACGAAGAAGCTACGATGTAATCAGGCTACAAGCAGTGAAAATCCACAACAATCAAATATCAGGGAAGCGCTGTTAGAAAAACATATAGAATGTTCATAGACTTCAAGAAAATAATAACTTGAATTGTAAAAAGTAAACCTTCCAAAGGAATAATAAAATAGAATAATAGTTCTCCTTCAATTCTTTATCATTCAACAAACTAATTTATTTAATGAGAATTGATGAACAAGAAGCAGGAAAAACTGACTTATTGATAAGACAGAATCACACCAATTCAGGCATTTATTGCACAGTTCAAAGTTGTTTGCAATTCATCACATGATAAGAAGCACTGTCTATCTGAATTGCATTGAAATGTGCAATTTTACCTACCATACACCCCAAGAATTAGAAATCACACACTAATGTATGTTGAAAAACAGAACTGCTATCCACAAAGCCTAATAAGTGGCACCAACTATAACCAACTATGGTAGTTTCAAATGCCAATGTTATGTTGTTGAATGCATAATTCAATGTCACATCCTGGATCTACATTCTACAACATAAAATATCAAGTCCTAAATGCACAGCATAACGTTTGAAATACGAAGGAATCATAACTGAATAATATCAAGAAAG